AACATTCTAGAGTTGAAACAAAAAGTCGATTTTTGGCAATATATGAATAATTCGGCGGAGTAGATGAAGCTACATACATACATATGGGGAATTTCATGTCTAGTGACTCAACTCAAAAAATCGATTTTGACGAAATTTGCACTAAGGTTAGTACTATTGGATAGTAGGTCAGACACAAATTTTCAGCTCTATCGGTCAAGATCTGCCGGACCTTCCAGGCAGTTATTTTTCCCCTATTTTTTCAAAATGGACTTTTTTGTTGTATTTTTTTTTTTGCTCAAAAGCCTACTATTTCAAATTTCATCCAAATCGGAAGACATCGATTTTTAAAGTTGGGTCACTTGACACGAAATTCCCCATATGGGCTATTCCATGAAAAGGTAAACCACGACTGCATTTTTGAAGATAATTCAACAATGGTATATGATCTTTTATAGCACCAAAGACGAAGACTGTTGAAAATTTTTGAAATCGGTCTATTTTTACACCTTTCCCCCATACAAACGGACCCGAAAATATCACTTTTTAGCTCATAATTCTGTTAATTATAATACTATCCCTTCAAAAATTGGCAGATCTAAAATGTTTATAAGCCTAAACCATTATGCCGATTTTCATAACGATTGGACCTCATTTGAGCCTAGTTCCATTCAATGTTTAATTTCAGAAAAACACTTAAACGTCCGTAACTCACCTCTAATCACTAGTATTATGATAGAATTTGGCACAAATAAGTTTTATATGAATTAAAATCACACCCCAAAATTTTATGAAGATCGGTCCATATTTGACCCTAGTCGCCATATAACTCCAGTTTTTTATTTTTATCTATTAATTGCTTAAACATGTATATAGGTCGGCCATGTCCGACTGCACTTTCCCACTCCTTTTGATTTGCATGCATATATTTCCAAAATATATATTTTATAACCTAAAAAAAAATCAGGGGAAAAATCTGTCACATACGATATGTCACGTACGATATTTAAAAATGTTTATTATAAAATTATATTAATTTTTTTTATTTAAAAATTATGGATTACTAATGAAAAATTTGTCCCATAGTGTAAGAAATTAAAACAAAAAAGATACACCTACAGAATTCGCAGATTTTCGTAAATATTTACATGTACTTTAAAAACATTTCCGTTTTTTGTCACGTATGATATCGCCATATTTTAATCCATATTTTGGAAAACAAGGTTCCGAATGGGATGATTTCTTTTGCAAATATAGTATTCTTTAAATGAAACAGAATGACAAAATTGTTTTTCAAGTACTCCTAATTTTACAAAATCTATACCACTCTGAAGGCGTACGAATATCACATACATTCGTATGGAATTGCCCATATATATGTCTGTATGTCCGTCTGTCTGTCTTCACGTCTGTCCGTGTATCTGTCTATGTCCGATGAAATACATTTTTTCAAAACTCTAAGTATCTGCAGGATCTAACACTTTAACCTACATGCTTTCGATAAATAGCGGAGATATGTATGTATGTGTGAGCAAAATATCGAGACAAAATCACAAAACATTTGTTTCATTAACATGGATGTTACTGCTTAAAACATGTTTTTTATTTAATTCCGGATTATTTTAACAATTTGTTGACAAAAAAGTGAATTTCTAAATGAGGGGTTAGACGGGGAAGGATAAATAATATCCTATCCTTATAAATGTTGGTAGAGGGATTTGCAGAATTTATTCGTGGAACTGGTGTTTAGAGAGTAATTTACCTTAAAATCATTTTCAGAAAGGAGCTATGGTTAATGTTTTTCCAATTTCTGTAGAGATACAAGAACATTTAACATAATTATGAGCTCAAAATCCATTTTCTTGGGGTACGGTGAAATAGTTGAACGATTTCCACCATTTTCCATAGCGTTCGTCATTGGGAAAAAAGTATCGAATTTCATCAAAGTATCATGAAAATTACCTTTAGCGTGCGCACCAGGTTTACATGGACATGGCTTAATCGATTTAGAAAATGATTCTGAGCCGATTGTTATACTTTAGGCTGGATGTAGGACCAATATGTATATGTATGTAAAATATAAACTAAATACAAGTGTGTATTGGGGTTATGACTTTTTGGGCGCCAAAATACCATAGTACTGCCTTAAAGCTAATACTGTCCTGATAATATAAGGCTATTTTTTAAGTCAATTCGGTCAAAAAACTTCCCGCACCGAAAGCAATTCCTAAAATGCTTTCGTTCGTTATTTTTCAAAATTATTTTAATAATTTTCATATAAAAGTAGATTATTTTCTACAACATGCTATTATCGCGATTTGTTAAAATTTCTATATCAAGGATTTAAAGAACAATGTTCTCTTTAAGATAATATAATACAAATGCAAAAATGTTGTCAAAAATATTTATTTTTCTTATATAGAAAAAGTAAAATTTATACAAAATTTCATCGCCTTTGGTGCAGGAACTTTTTTCACGATCACGAAAAAATAATATTATATTCCTTAACATCTGTTCACGCCCTACAAGCTCTTGCTATGGTATTTTTGATATTTGCAAAAATTGCAAAAAGCAATTACCCTAGTGTGTATGTACTTTTATTTTCACTCAAAAGTAACTGAAACAGGGTTTTGTCTAAGATAATTTTTTACATTTACAAATGGTATAATTGTAAAAGAATGAAAAACGTGTCCGTGCTAAGTTTAGAAGTTTCATTATAATTTGACTTTGCTAAACTTTGTGTAATAGATTATCTTACAAAAACGCGACCACTTGAGGAAACTTTAGAATAAAAAGCTAATAAAATGATTTTGCTTTGTTTAATAACTCAATTTAAAATTGACATTTCCTATTTTATCCAGGAAAATTTCTGCAATACGAATAGTACTGGAAATATTTTCAAAATTGCAAATAAAGGTCTATATATAAATATATTTTTCCTTACAAATTTTTTTTGAACGTTCGTCGTTTTATAAAACGAAATCCTCAATCAATCCCAAAATAATTAATATCTCATAAAAATATTAATAAATTCTTAAGAAATAAAATATTTATGAATTTTCTAAATCCACTAAAAAAGGAGACCCTAAAAGGAGACCCTTTAATTTTATAAATTTTTATTATTTATTGAATTACATACCTCTTTATTTTAATGATAGTTATTGATTTACACTTTTTTATTTTATTTATTACATATTTATAAATTTTACATGCATACTACACTTTTTATTTAATTAATTTTCTATTTGCAATTTTATTTATTATATTTTTCATTTTACATATTTAAAACACTTTATTTATTAATTTACTTTTTAATTTTTTTATTTCATATTTTATTTCTTCATATTTTTTTCATAAACTTATATGTTCCTCCTCCCCACCATTCATCACTTTCATTGCAATTAACGAACGACCACACAAAAAAGAATTCATAAAAGGGACGCTTACAAATTGCAAATTTCTTTATAACTTCCGACACTTTTTTCACGTATTTACCATGAAATTTTTGTAAATATTTTTATATAAAAATATTCGTTAATAATTATATTTCACATTTATGCAAAAATATTTAGGATTTTATTACTTTTACAACAATAAATAATTAATTTTCTAAGAGCGTTTCCAAAAAAACAACCGCAACACTTTAAAAATTCAATAAAACTAAAAAAACAACTGCACACACAGACGTACAAACACATGTTTGCAAATATGCAGAGAGCAGAGATCACACGTTGTTGTTATTGTTTTTATTACAATTAGAGTTCAACTAAAATGTCAACAAGTGGGAAAAAAATACATATGTATGTAAACAAAGTGGTGAAATTGTGGGAGATGACAATTTTAAAGCAAATAATTGTAAACAAAATAAAATTTTAGCATTTTTAAAAGTTAATTTTTAAATAGATTAGAGCCTTTATTTACACTTTGTACATTAATTAAATTAGAAGGCCCATTCATTAGGAAAATCGGCAGTAACATTTAGATTTATAAAAAACTAAATATTGCCGATTTTTGCATAGAATGTAGAACATTAACATCAAGAGCTCTATTAGGGGGTTACAGTTGTAAGAGGGCTAGGCGAAATAATGGGCCGATTTCAACCGTTCCAAGAGAAAAGAATGTGAAAATTTTCATCTTGAAAAATGCGACTTGTGGCGTATGCAAATGTTTACCTGGATCTACAGACGGACGGACGGACAGACTTACGTAGACAGTATCACACATAATACACTCTCCTCTATAGCTGTAGGGTATAAGCTTACCTATTACTAAATTAAATAATTTAAAATTTAACAACTTTTGTACCATATTTTTACTTGGCAATTCTTTTGATTTTATTTATCTGAAGCGCCCTCTATAGCTGTTAAACCCAAGGGTTAAAGACTCCACTAAATTTTTATTAAAATATTTCAACGCAAATTAACCCTTAATATGTCTTAAGAAAATATAGAAGAAAACTTTTATATTCGGTCAACAAAACATTACTTTTTTTATTAGTTAAATGTTAATTTTAAATAAATTTTTCGTTAAAAACTACTAATTTCAGTTGTTTTTTTATTTATTTTGAGGTCTTTTCTTTACTAAAAATAACTTAACAAATTGTGAAATAATTAAAGATCTTTAAACGACTTAAGCTTGCAAGTTAAGAAATGAAATAAACTTGAAATAAAGATAGTTTTAAAGTTTTTAGAATTTCAACTTTTAAAATATTTAATGCAAATATTTTTTCAAAAACTATTAATTTCATTATTTTTTTATTTGTAAATGTTTAAAAGAAAAACAAATGTTTGTAAGGATTAAAAGTTAAATGTCAAGAGAAATGTTTAAAACATTAGCAACATCTCCATAATTGTAATAAAAAAAAGTTTAAATACACCAGTAGATAAATGTTAGTTGAAAAAGAGAACACTCTAACGTAAGCAGCAATTAAAAGGGGGAAATTTACTTTTTTTTGTAGGGGTTTCAAATATTTTCTTTAATTTAATTACAATTTACAAGAGTTTTATTAAAACATAACACAATTGCAGCAAGATAATGAGGTTTATTTTTGGACATGTTTTCATAGCTTTTGTTATTTTTATTTAGATGTATTAGTGTGACAGGAAGAACTGGGAATCTAGAGTTTTGTTAAAGAACTAGTAGCAGACACACACAGTGAAGTTGGAAAAGAAATACAAAAGTTTACATTAAACCTAAACAAATGCAATTTTACAATATAAAAAAATTGTACATAAGAAAAATAATAATTATAAAATAATTATAACTGGCGGTGTTGATGGCTTCTTAAAAGAGTTTATTTGTGTGGGGATTTTGCACAAAAAAAACTGGCTTTAATTTTACAATATTTAAAATGCTTCGATTCTATTTCTTATTGGAACAAAGAAGAAATTAAATCAATACCATTTAAATATTCTAAAATGTTTCCGTTTTTTAACAAAAAAAAAGAAGGAAACAAATGCTTTCCTTATTAAATTTGTTTTTAGCTAGAAATAAGTGTTAAGTTTGTTTTTGGAAAGCTTAAGGTGTTTGGGTCTTTTTGTTTATACAGATTCTTGTTATTACCAATTTTTGTTCTACGCTGTGTTTTTATTTGGTTTTAGGTTTCTTTTGTTGTTAATAATTTTTAACCAATAATCCCTATTTTTTATTATTGAAATCAATTTATAGTTTTGTTTGTTTCTTTTCAGTGTTTTTGTTTTCTTTGTTATTTCTTTCAGTACTTAAGGTTAACCAATAATAAGACCACAACCTAATCTAAATTGATTTTTGGTATGATTTAAACGTCCACTTAAAGCAAATGAAAATGGCAATGGCTGCAAACGTTTCTCTAATACACCGCATACATTCCAGTTAGAGTCGAAGGAGCCTAAAAAGATGAAAAGAAAAATAACGATAAAAGTAAAAAAAAAAATAAAAGTAAAATAATTTAGATATGTTCGCGTATATAAAGAAGTAGTTTCTGAACTAGATATTATAATAATAGTAGCACTAGTGTCGCTTAAAGTCTGATCTAAACTAGAATTGAACTATAACTAAACTAAAATTGAACTGAACTAGAATTGAACTAGAACTGGGCTAGAATTGAACTAGACCTGAACTAGAACCAAACTAGAACTAGAACTGAACCAAAACTGAACTACAACTGAACTAGAACCGAACTAGAACTGAACTAGAACTGAACTACAACTGAACTACAACTGAACTAGAACCGAACTAGAACTGAACTAGAAAGGAACTAGAACTGAACTAGAACTGAACTAAAACTGAACTAGAACTGAACTAGAACTGAACTAGAACTAAACTAGAACTGAACTAGAACTGAACTAGAACTGAACTAGAACTGAACTAGAACTGAACTAGAACTGAACTAGAACTGAACTAGAACTGAACTAGAACTGAACTAGAACTGAACTAGAACTGAACTAGAACTGAACTAGAACTGAACTAGAACTGAACTAGAACTGAACTAGAACTGAACTAGAACTGAACTAGAACTGAACTAGAACTGAACTAGAACTAGAACTGAACTAGAACTGAACTAGAACTGAACTAGAACTGAACTAGAACTGAACTAGAACTGAACTAGAACTGAACTAGAACTGAACTAGAACTGAACTAGAACTGAACTAGAACTGAACTAGAACTGAACTAGAACTGAACTAGAACTGAACTAGAACTGAACTAGAACTGAACTAGAACTGAACTAGAACTGAACTAGAACTGAACTAGAACTGAACTAGAACTGAACTAGAACTGAACTAGAACTGAACTAGAACTGAACTGAACTAGAACTAGAACTGAACTAGAACTGAACTAGAACTGAACTAGAACTGAACAAGAACTGAACTAGAACTGAACTAGAACTGAACTAGAACTGAACTAGAACTGAACTAGAACTGAACTAGAACTGAACTAGAACTGAACTAGAACTGAACTAGAACTGAACTAGAACTGAACTAGAACTGAACTAGAACTGAACTAGAACTGAACTAGAACTGAACTAGAACTGAACTAGAACTGAACTAGAACTGAACTAGAACTGAACTAGAACTGAACTAGAACTGAACTAGAACTGAACTAGAACTGAACTAGAACTGAACTAGAACTGAACTAGAACTGAACTAGAACTGAACTAGAACTGAACTAGAACTGAACTAGAACTGAACTAGAACTGAACTAGAACTGAACTAGGACTGAACTAGAACTGAACTAGAACTGAACTAGAACTGAACCAAAACTGAACTAGAACTGAACTAGAACTGAACTAGAACTAAACTAGAACTGAACTTGAACTGAACTAGAACTGAACTAGAACTGAACTAGATCTGAACTAGAACTGCACTAGAACTGAACTAGAACTGAACTAGAACTGAACTAGAACTGAACTAGAACTGAACTAGAACTGAACTAGAACTGAACTAGAACTGAACTAGAACTGAACTAGAACTGAACTAGAACTGAACTAGAACTGAACTAGAACTGAACTAGAACTGAACTAGAACTGAACTAGAACTGAACTAAAACTGAACTAGAACTGAACTAGAACTGAACTAGAACTGAACTAGAACTGAACTGAACTAGAACTAAACTAGAACAATAATTTTCCAATTTACATTTTTAATTGTTTATTAATATGATACTGGATGAGTTCGATCTCTACCTTTTATTATACGATCACACCTAAGGAACCTTAATTAATCAGTAAGACGTCATTCACGTCTAAGGGTTATTTTATTTAGTAAAGTCCAAAGAAAGATGCGAAACTACTTTTCTCACAAAAAAATCTAAATAAATGTATCACTCACCTCTAAACACAACATCAGCTTTGGGCAAGTCCACCTGATAACCTAAAGTAGCAACGGATTCTTGCATTCTTAGACTAGTTTCGACTTCCACACCAATTTGTAATTGTTCACTGGCCTTTTGGTAGTAGCAAATGTGTACACCGCTGGGACCCAAGGTGCCAGACCATGTTGAATCGCCATTGGTATAACGACCGACAGCAGAAAGAACAGCAATTTGACCACCAGGAACATTGGGACCATATTGATAGGCGAGTTCGGCACCCAAGGCAATACTCTTGGTAACCGATTGCAAATAGTGACCCACAAAAACACCGGAATTGTTGAAAATATTGGGATTACCAACGGTCAATGAAGCGGTAAAGTCATCACCACGATAATCTGTGGTCAATTGGGCGGCGGTAATTTTTGATTCTTGAATCTAAAATACAAAGAAATTATCTAATTAAAGGCAAACGAATAAAATACAATATAAACCCACCTGCGAGGCAAATTTACAACGGATACGTGGTGAGAATTGATGAATAACATTGGCGTTCAAGTTGCCCGAGGGATCGATATCACCCAACAATACGGGGAAGGCCTCAGAGGGACTGAATTGTTTGGTGCCCACATAAGTGGCTCCGAAACGATAACCGCTAGGTTGTGTGCTGCACAAGTTCAGAGTGTGCGATACTTGGAAGTGATTGCTGAGACCTTTGTTCAACATGACTTTGGCACCCTCAAAGGTCATGGCCTGTATATCTGCAATTATCATTGAAATATTAATTCAATTTCACAAAAACTCTTCAATTTCATTCATTTTTTCACAATTTTCCATTCACATGCTTGTAGGTTATGTCATCAGCAGCGAAGCCAATAACCCTCAACCAGCTCTGCTCAATCATGTTTTTGTTTTCATTTTATCAACCATCGAACACACACTTACGCATAATACTTACCTTTACATTTTTTATGCAATTCCTCAACAGTTCCGGGATTATCTAATTTTGTTTCTTTCACAACTTTCTCCACTGCCTGACCACCGCTGTAGGCGCCAGGAGCTGCTGGTTCTGGCATTCCCAATTTGTCCAAAGAAGCGGCGGCGCTGCTCGGCGTCGACGAAGATGCTGCCATAACATTACCCATTCTGCTTGTTTTTAAATTTTTTCTTTATTCCCGACTGATAACTACTTTGCTGTTCGAAATTTATTTACACTCGCGCTCACACACAAACACCGCACTGAATTTTTACTCAATTCCTTTTTGGACTCTAATCGTTTTCCGATTTTAGGGAATTTTTGTATAATTTTTTCAACAGAATTTGCACGTTTTGTATGTTTTAACAATTCCCGTCGCACCGATAAAAATTGGGAAACAATTTTTCTAACATTCATATAAAAATTTTCTACGAAAAGAGCAAAAACTCCAATTGACAGTTGTGAGGTGGATATATACAATAAGTTGTTCTCATGACACGTGCGTGGTGAAATTAATTGTGATAATAGCAAATTAACCGCTGTCATGTGAATTGACTTTAAAAGAACACTTACCGAAATAATTTCCTTTTAAAAATATGTATGTATGTTGCAATAGATTTCGGAAATTCTTCAATAAATTGAAAAACTATTGTAAATAAACTGATAAATTGTTTCTTCAATTTTATAAACAAAATTTATCGAATATTTTCTTTTCATATTAAAAATAACACACCAAAATTTATTGAAAATGTATTGAAAAATTAAAATAAAAGTTAACGAAAATTTTTTATAAAAAGAAAATTTATCGAAAATTTTCTATAAAAAGAAAATTTATCGAAAATTTTCTATAAAAAGAAAATTTATCGAAAATTTTCTATAAAAAGAAAATTTATCGAAAATTTTCTATAAAAAGAAAATTTATCGAAAATTTTCTATAAAAAGAAAATTTATCGAAAATTTTCTATAAAAGAAAATTTATCGAATAAAAGAAAATTTATCGAAAATTTTCTATAAAAAGAAAATTTATCGAAAATTTTCTATAAAAAGAAAATTTATCGAAAATTTTCTATAAAAAGAAAATTTATCGAAAATTTTCTATAAAAAGAAAATTTATCGAAAATTTTCTATAAAAAGAAAATTTATCGAAAATTTTCTATAAAAAGAAAATTTATCGAAAATTTTCTATAAAAAGAAAATTTATCGAAAATTTTCTATAAAAAGAAAATTTATCGAAAATTTTCTATAAAAAGAAAATTTATCGAAAATTTTCTATAAAAAGAAAATTTATCGAAAATTTTCTATAAAAAGAAAATTTATCGAAAATTTTCTATAAAAAGAAAATTTATCGAAAATTTTCTATAAAAAGAAAATTTATCGAAAATTTTCTATAAAAAGAAAATTTATCGAAAATTTTTAAATTTTATCAAAAATTTCATTAAAACAATATATATGAAAAATAGAGTAAAGAGGGGGTGGGGAATAACAAAATGACTTTTTAACATTTCTAAAAAATGTTCTATAAGATATTTTAATAAAATTTCTATAGATAAAATAAAAATTTTAAAATTGAGATTTTATGAAAATGTTCAGAGAAATAATATACATATAATCAAATATTTGTCGTTTCGTTTTATAAAATGGGATCCTATGAATAATTTAAGATTTGTTTCTGTACTGATTTAATATAGTAAAGAGAGTATAAACTTTTAATTGGACTTACCGGTTTTCAATAATTATCTTATTCACCCTAATTGCATTTATTTTATTTACATTTTTAATGCATGTTTTACAAGATATAAAAAACTTAAAAAATTTATTAAACATTAACTAATTTTATATCAAAACATTATGTTTTATTCAATTATTTCATTAACACTTATTTTTTACATTTAAAAGGCCTTATTGTGGCAATGCCATCTTTATTTCATTTTTAATATTTATATTTTATTTTTATATAAAGAACTTTTTCATTTAACTAACCTATTTTATAAATATTTAAATATAAACATAAATACATACTTTTAATATTTTATTAAACTAGCACTTAACTTTCTTTTTTAATTTTTAATTTTTTTAATTCTCTTATTTATATTAAAAGGCCATGTTGTGGCAATGCCATCTTTATTTAATTAATTGAACTTCCGCTCTTTATTAAACTTTTACTAACTCTTTTCTTCACACATTTAAAATACACACACACTTTTCATTTCCCATTTAAGAACTTTTTATTTGTGGCAACTAGCGCCATCTTTATTTTTATTTTCAATAATGGCTTTACACATCTCAAGATTTACCTAAAGCTTAACAGCAACAAGCAACACACATATTCATTTCATAACCCGACACAATACGAACAAACCCACAAACTAACGAACGGCCCAACAAAAGAAAAACAGCTATCGGCATTGCAATTGCAATTCATTTTCATCGAACTTTAAACACTTTTTTCGTAAAATCCTCGTATTTTATTGCAATTGTTTTAATTTAATTATATCAAACAAATGTTTCTTCATGTTTTTATGCAAAAATTATCACATTTTATCAACTTTTAATTAAATTAATTCAAGATTTCGCGGAGCTCAAACACTTGTCAACCGAACCGTACAAAATTTCTGCGTAAACTGAAAATTGCAAAAGAAGAAGGAGAAAGGAGTATAAGAAATTATGACAGTATGCGAGTTTATAATAAAGAGATGGTTACTTTAGGTAGTGTATGTGCAGTTGACTTAACTTACATTAAACTTTAATAGCTAATGATGTTATATGGATAACAGTAGAGATATGGATATTCTATTGTTGGGGTGGTTACTTAATGATGTTAAATTTATAATGATCATTGCACTGTGGTATAGGAACTTTTATTATTGGAAATACATAATTCGGTATCTTTGGAACTATTGGATATATCGCAATGAAATTTCACATATTTGGAGTTGAGGTGCTTTCGTGTTAATTGAAAGTTGTAGGTTATCGTGGGCGGAATGGGGCCAGTGAGTAGCCCCTCAAAATTCATCATCTCGAGTTAACTTTTAAAAAACCGTCAAAAGTCCATTTATAATCTGAATGATCTGAAATTTAAAATATCACTACTTCTTGGGAAGATCTAAAAAAATACGCTACATGTGTGGCTTATCTGTTTTGCTTTAAGTGATATTAAGGATAATTTTTTGTATTCTTAATTTTTCCTGGTGTACTTTTAGTTTTTTTAATGTGGCTAGCCTACGGAGGGTCGTAATTTTTTTTCAAATATCCTCTAGTTTTCTGATAGAATTCTTAATAAATATGTAAAACAAAAACCACTTCTCAACAGTTATCTTGTCGCTATAAAAAGTTAGACGCGTCCAAGGTTGCCCCATGTAAAAAGGGCAGTATTGTTTTAGGTTTTTTCCCAAAAAAAATCCTATATTCTTTCTTTTATACATATATACAAATTTTCTTCGGGACTATATACAAATTTTATATTATCCGGAGAGACAACTTAATGTAGAAACGTGCTAAATAAAATTTGGTTTATTCAAGTGGATACTGCCTCCAAACTTGGTCAATTTTGATTTGAATAAAAAAAATTAAAACGCAAAGCACCGATCTTCACATTGGTCCCATATTTATATAGCCATATATGTATGTTCCTTAAATATTTACAAAGTCTTTCTCTTATCACACGTTAAATAACGTCACAGTGGGCACTTTTATTAAAAAAATAATTTTTTGGAATTTCGATATTTGTATACAGAAAATGAGAGAACTGGTAACAGTATTATTTTAGAAGGACTTAGATCTATATACACATGTCCATATTTCGATATCGTTATCCGTTCAAATTTTACCTTAATTCAAATTTTATACATATTTGTAATATTAAAAAAATCTCTATATTATGATTTTTTTTACTTTTTCGTAAATAGTGTTCTAATAAAAGATCCGTTATATTATATATCTTTTAAAGTTTAATCCTTAAGCTATTATGATTTCAAACTCCATGTTATGATTTTTTTACTTCTTCTAATAAAAGATAAGTCATTATGTTTTCAATAATAATTCGACGATACTAAATGTATAAAAACTATAAACTTAATCACCACAAAGTTTCCAAACTTATACTCCTTTTGATATTATTAATGCTTTTTTATGATTTTCAAGCAAATTTCGCTAATTAGTCCTGCCCCTGAAGAGGAAAATAAATTTTAACCCATCGAATTCTTCCATTATCCGATTGGGTTAAAACTTATTAATAGTTAATTTTAGATAATTTAATTTTCCGAAAAAGTAAATAAATAATAATGTAGAGATTTTTTAAATTCACAAATATAAAATTTGAATTAATGTAAAATTTGAACGGATAAAGATATCAGAATAGAATTTTGGACATATATAGACCCAGATCGTTTACAAATATCGAATTTCCTAAAGCGGAAAAAATGTATTCCAAAAAAAATTGTTTTTTGATAAAAGTGACCACCATGTGATAGTAGACATACTTTGTATATATTTTTAAGTTGGTTAGATCGGCGCTTTGCGTTTTTAAATTTTTTATTCAAGTCAAAATATATTTTTCAAATTTGACCAAGTTTGGATAGGGCTGGGTGGGGTAGTGTCCGCTTAAATGAGCCAAATTTTATTTTGACCGTTTCTACATTAAGTTCTCTTCTGAATCATAAAAAATGTATGTAAATATAGTACTGAATAAAATTTGTTTCTATAAGAGAAAGAATATAAGCCCTTTTTTGGGAAAAAAATAAAAAAGACAGCACTTTTTACATGTTGCAACTTCGGTTGCGTCTGACTTTTTATAGCGACAAGATAACTGTTGAGAAATTGTTTTTGTTTTATTTAGAATTTTACCAGAAAACTATAGAATATTTTAAAAAATTAACGGCCTCCGTAGGCTAGCCACATTTAAGAAACTAAAAGAAGATCGGGAAAAATTTAGAAAAAATTAATCCGAAATATCTCTTAAAGAAAAAGAGGTAAGCCACACATGTAACTGATTTGTAGATCTTCTCAAGTAGTCATATGTTAAATATGAGATCATTCAGATTAAACATGGATTTTTGACGATTTAAAAGAAAAAATATAACCGAGGTGATCAATTTTGAGGAACTACCCACCGGCCCCATTCCGCCCACGATCACCTACAACTCTCAATCAACCCGAAAGTACCTCAGCTCCAAATATGTGAAATTTCATTGCGATATATGCAATAGTACTTAAACCACAGTGCAATGATCATTATAAATTTAACATCATTAAGTAAACACCCCAACCATAGAATATACCCCAATTGTTTTCCATATTACTTCGTTAGCTATTAAAGTTTAATGTAATTTAAGTCAATTGCACATACACTATCCAAAGTAACCATCTCTTTATAATAAACTCGCATACTGTCATAATTTCTTATACTCCTTTGCTCCTTCTTCTTTTGCAATTTTCAGTTTAAGCAGAAATTTTGTACGGTTCGGTTGACAAGTGTTTGAGCTCCGTGAAATCTTTAAATAGTTTAATTAAAAGTTGATTAATTGTGATAATTTTTGCATAAAAATATGAAGAAACATTTGTTTAATATAATTAAATTAAAAAAATTGCAATAAAATACGAGGATTTTGCGAAAAAAGTGTTTAAAGTTCGATGGAAATGAATTGCAATTGCAACGCCGATCGTTGTTTTTCTTTTGTTAGGCCGTTCGTTAGTTTGTTCGTAGTGTGTGTTGTTGTGAAATGAATGTGTGTGTTAGTTTTTGTTGTTAAGCTTTAGGCAAAAGTTGTGAAGTGCAAGGAAATGTAGAAAATAAAAATGAAGATGGCGCTAGTTGCCACAAATAAAAAGTTTTTTAAATGGGAAATGAGAAGTTTGAGTGTGTGTTTTAATACAATTAAAGAAAGTTTAATAAAATAGGAAGTATTGTTAATAAAATAAAGATGGCGTTGCCACAACATGGCCTGTTAATATAAATAAGAAAAAATTTAAATTAAAATGGAAAATGTATTTTAAGATTAATAAAATATTTTTTTTTTATATTTAAATATATATTGAAGGAGCAAAATATTATTGTAAAGGTGATTGTTTTACATAAAAATTAAAAAATAATTAAAATTTTGAAATAAAATAAAGATGGCATTGCCACCCTATGGCCTTTTAATGTAAATTTAAATTTAATAAAAGAAGTGTTTAAAGTGTGTTTCATTAAAAAAATCAATATGTAAATAAAATTTTAAAAAGAGAAATTGAATGTATGTTTTAAAATATTAAATATAAATTTTATTCTGCAACTAAGGTGAACAAAAATTTGTGAAAAAGAGGCAAGTGCAATTAAATATTCTTTCTCATCTAAATTGAAATTTAACTTTTATTTATCTAAAAATTTAGTTTTTATTTATTTAATAAGAATATTAATATTTTTCACCAATAACTTTGTATATTGTTTGGTAACTATGAGATCTTAAAACTGTCAAATATGTATTATAAAAAATCTTAAAAATTTTCTGTTTATAAAAATTTTCGGTAAATTTTCAATAGAAATTCTCTTTAAATATACATATGTACATATTATAAATTTTTTTCAAATATTTATAGAATATTTTCTCGTCAGGTTTTCATAGAAAATTTTAAAATTTTGTAAAAAAAAAAAAAATTATAGAAATTTTAAGAATATTTTAAATATTTTATAGAACTTAGTTTTCTTTTTTATAGAAAGTTATTAATTTGTTTACAGACAATTTGTATAACTACTTATAAAATTTATTTTTATAGCAAACTTTTGTTTAATATTCTGTTTAAAGAAAATTTTCCTCAGATTTTCTATTTATAGATTTTTTAGATTTTCTATTCATATGAAATGTTCTTTCTATACATTCTTTAAATTTAATGTTAATCGTAAGATTTTCATATAAAAATTATTTTAACAGACAGAATATATAACGGTTAACGATAACCGGAGGTGGAGATAACTTTACATGGTTAAAATGGGTTTAGTGTTAAATAAATTTTCTCTTTAAAGAAATTACACACAACATTTTGTTCAGTATTTCAACACAGTAATCACCCGCTGTATCGTAAAATGTCAGCAGCCGCCGTCGTTAATGTTTGTCGACACAGGTCTATGAAAGAGGCGCAAAAGTATTTATCTTATTTCACTTGAATTTTCATTGATTTAAAAAAACTTGAATGAAAAGCATTTAGAAATGCCACCAAACCGTAAAGGAAGTGCAGCAAAGGTATAAATAAATAAATAAAACTAAAGGAAATCTCAAAATCTTTATGTTCAATTCCTTAGGCATCTGTTGCCAAAAAGACCAAAACAACTGAAGAATCTACAAAATTAAAGGAAGACCAACCAGTTCTCTATATCGAATACTGTCGCTCCCCGGTAGCTTTAGTTAGTAAAGCTGTTGTTGAGTCTAAGGAGAATTCAGTTGAGGATACAACGATTTTGGTGGTGGTACCCCTTGTTTTAAGGAGCTGTATTAAACGATTGATTTTTTTGTTGGATGTAAAGATAGATAGACATTAATAACTTTAATAAGGCATAGAAATCTTAAGGCTTGTTAAATAAAACATTTGTTTAAAGATATCTATACCGTTAGTATAATTATATTAATTGCAAGATCTGTACATTTAAACAAAATTATTACAAATATACTTCAATATTTTTTAATTCTTTCTAAAACTTGAAGATCAGAAGTAGAGGGAACATGTCCTGATTAAAAGCAACTAGGTGTCAAGAAGAGGATTATATTTCGAGGTATTTTACGATAACCAGATACATACTTAAGAAATTAATTTTTAACAAATCTTTGTCATTCCCAGATACTAAATCACCTTTTAAGCATTAATAATTAAATATTCTTTAACTGGAATATCGGAAACTCCTTATACATACTAACATTTTAAACAAAATAAATCTAGAATATTAGTCGGCTGGGACGACTATTTGATACTCTACACCAGTTATCAATATAATTAAAAAGTGATTTGTTTCATTAAAGTAAAATATTTATATTAAATTTTAGTTTAATTACGACAAGTGTATGTATTTTAGCAATTTATTGATACACTAAAATTGGATGGTATAATGGATAAAGAAATAAAAAAATTGGATTCAGTTCATAATAACACACTTATGATCGAAGAGAATATGGAAATGGTTTCACTTTTAAAATAATAAAAGAGTTTGTCTTTTTGTTGCTGTTTCAAAAAATTAATGGAATTTAAAAGGAATTTGAGATAAAAATGTTTAGGTCTCCTACATTTAAAAATTGAGATAACTCCTGATTTTATGATTATAAATATGGTAGGTTGACCTATTCAAATAGATCTACATACATACGTACATACGTCACATCTTCCTTAAATTCTACAATAAACTTCACTTTACTACAATTTCATATAATTTTTATTCTTAATAATGATCATTATAAATTTAACATCATTAAGTAATCACACCTGCTATTGTCCATATTAATGCGTTAACGACTAAGTTTAAAGTTAAGTCAATTGCACATACACTATCCAAAGTAACCATCTCTTTATTATAAACTCGCATACTGTCATAATTTCTTATACTCCATTCTCCTTCTTCTTTTGCAATTTTCAGTTTACGCAGAAATTTTGTACGGTTCGGTTGACAAGTGTTTGAGCTCCGTGAAATCTTTAAATAGTTTAATTAAAAGTTGATTAATTGTGATAATTTTTGCATAAAAACATGAAGAAACATTTGTTTAATATAATTTAATTAAAAAAATTACAATAAAATACGAGGATTTTGCAAAATAAGTGTTTAGTTCGATGAAAATGAATTGCAATTGCAACGCCGGTTGCTGTTTTTGGTTCGTTCGTTAGTTTGTGGGTTTGTTCGTATTGTGTCGGGTTATAAAATGAATGTGTGTTATTTTTTGTTGTTAAGCTTTAGGCAATTGTTGTGAAGTGCAAGGAAATGTAGAAAATGAAGATGGCGCTAGTGGCCACTAATAAAAAGTTTTTAAATGGGAAATGAGAAGTTTGTGTGTTTTAATAGAATTAAAGAAAGTTTAATAAAATAAAGATGGCGTTGCCACAACATGGCCTGTTAATATAAATAAACAAAATTTTAAATTAAAATGGAATATGTATTTTAAAATTAATAAATTATTTTTTGTTTATATATAAATAAATATTGAAGTAGCAAAATATAATTGTAAAGGTGATTGTTTTACATAAAAATAAAAAAATAATTAAAATTTTGAAATAAAATAAAGATGGCATTGCCACCCTATGGCCTTTTCATGTAAATTTAAAATGTGTCTTCAATTTAATAAAAGAAGTGTTTAAAGTGTGTTTCATTAAAAAATCAATATGTAAATAAAATTTTAAAAAGAATAATTGAATGTATGCTTTAAAATATTAAATATAAATTTTATTCTGCAACTAAGGCGAACAAAAATTTGTGAATAAGAGGCAAGTGCAATTAAATATTATTTCTCATCTAAATTGAAATTTAACTTTTATTTATCTAAAAATTTAGTTTTTATTTATTTAATAAGAATATTAATATTTTTCAACAATAACTTTGTATATTGTTTGGTAACTATGAGATCTTTTAAAATTTCAGAAAATTTGAAAATTTCCTTTGCATTTTCTAGTTAAAGAAATTTTTTTATTAAAATTAATTTTTATAGTAAACTTTTGTTTAATATTCTGTTTAAAGAAAATTTTCCTTAGATTTTCTATTTATAGATTTTTTAGATTTTCTATTCATATGAAATTTGTTTATCGTAAGATTTTCATATAAAAATTATTTTAACAGACAGAATATATAACGGTTAACGATAACCGGAGGTGGAGAACTGTCAATATATCTTAAAGTTAAAAATAACTAGAAATGGTGAAAATGGGTTTAGTGTTAAATAAATTTTCTGTTTAAAGAAATTACACACAACATTTTGTTCAGTAATCACCCGCTGTATCGTAAAATGTCAGCAGCCGCCGTCGTTAATGTTTGTCGACACAGGTCTCTGAAAGAGGCGCAAAAGTATTTATCTTATTTCACTAGAATTTTCATTGATTTAAAAAACTTGAATGAAAAGCATTTAGAAATGCCACCAAAACGTAAAGGAAGTGCAGCAAAGGTATAAATAAATAAATAAAACTAAAGCAAATTTCAAAATCTTTATGTTCAATTCCTTAGGCATCAGTTGCCAAAAAGACCAAAACAACTGAAGAATCTACAAAATTAAAGGAAGACCAACCAGTTCTCTATATCGAATGCTGTCGCTCCTGATCGGTATTCAAAAGGCGGGCAGAAGCACTGCACCGCGAGATCACCACTTTATTGTTACCTCTTAAATTAGATTTAGAATTACAATTAGCCATTAACGCCGATGGACCACCGCGTCGAGGATCTTTTGAAGTGTCAATTGCAAATGTCCCATCCGAAAATGTTGAGGAACGTTCTTTAATATGGACGGGGTTGAAAAATACCCCAAGAGCTGCTAAATTTCCTTCGGCCGAAAATATTGTTAAAGAACTTAAAGTCTTTTTGAAACTGGCGGGTGAGGATCAATTGAAAAAGGAGGAAGATAAGCCTCCGGCAACTTTAGTTAGTAAAGCTGTTGGTGAGTCTAAGGAAAAGGAGAATTCAGTTGAGACTTCACCTATTAAAAAAGCCAAACGCGGTAGACCTAAGAAAAAGTAAATTTGTCTATTTAGGTTTTTTCTTTTCATTTGTCTTTTCATTTTATAACTCTTATGACTTTAGTAGTGGTAAAACCTGTTTTAAGGAGCCCTACTAAACGATGCATTTTTTGGTTGGATGTTAAGATAGGTGGACTTTAAAAACATAAATTAGACATAGAAAACTTATGGCTAATATTTGTTAAATAAAACATTTGTTTATAAAAAATTAAGATTGTAATTATTTGATTTTTTGCAGTAAATGCCAGATGTGTACATGTAACACTCTCTTAAACAAATTGTAATAAATGCAAATATGTAGGTGCTTCGATGATATTTATTCTTTATAAAACTTGTAGATGAGGAGTAGAGTAAACGTGTTCTGATTAAAACAAACTAGGTGTCAAGAAGAGGATTGTATTTCGACGCAGTTTTGCGATGGACAGATATTTAAGACGTTTAATTTTTAACAAATGTTCCTAGCTGTTCGTCAATGGTCCCGAAAAAGACAGTGATTTCCATAACGACTAACCACCTGCTTAGCTCTATTTCCTCTTTGTCACTGATGTATTCTAAAAGAGGGTGAATATACAGAGTGGATACTTCAAAATCAAACTTAAGCTATTCGTAATCTATGGAGTGAAGATTGACTTCCTCGTAGGAAAAGCTCATGTTAAAATAGCTAGTCACAGTCGGTGGCTAGGGGTAACACTAAATGGTAGGTTTAAAAGGTTATTTGGGACTGTCCGACCGAACTGCTGAGTTAGTTGTTTCCAGATACTATATTAACTATTAAACACTATTAAAGAAATATGTACATATATATTAACGTAGAGTTGTACATATTTTTATACCCTACACCACTTTAGTGGGGAGGGTATACTGGATTTGTGTTGATGTTTGTAGCATTCAAAAATATTCGTCCTAGACCTTTAAAGTATACCAATCGGCTTAGAATCGTTTTCTGAGTCGATTAAGCTATGTCCGTCCGTCCGTCTGGCTGTCCATGTAAACCTTGTGCGCAAGGTACAGGTCGCAATTTTCAAGATAATTGGATGAAATTTGGCACGCACGTTTTATTTGACCCAAGGACGAAGTCTTTTGAAATGGTTAAAATCGGTCCATTATTTCACCTAGCCCCCATAGAACAGAACCCCCCGAAAAGGGCTTCTGAGCTCATAATTATGTTAAATGAGCTCATAATTATGTTAAATATAATATATCGGATCAAGGAATATTGAAGATAAATGCTTTATTATGAAAAATAAATCACATTTAATATTCATAACTGGTGTAGGGTATCATATGGTTGGTCACGCCCGACTATACTTTCTTACTTGTTTTATTATAAAAATCGTTCAATGAACCAAAATTTATATGCAAACAAGTTACAAAATAATTCCCACAACCGAAAAAATCTGGCATCTTTAATTTCAATAAATTAAATTTTGATAAACAATAAACATCTGTTTAACACAAATTTTCTTTAATTTTAAAATTTCTTCCGACATTAACAAAATAAATACAGAAAACATTATTTAAAAAGACTTTTATTTATTAACTTAAACACATGCATTTGGAATAGCATTATCGGTGAAAATACCCTCTTGTTTATTTTGCTCCTCTTCATCCTCCAATAAAAATTCTTCGCTTTCACTTACAACGAGCTATTTTTCCTTCTTTTCGGCCGACAGAGAGTTATACAAACGATTCACCTCATTGGCAATCAATTTATCAACAATAATACCATTAGCATCAACAAAATTGGCGCAAGATTTTACACTAGTAGCCTCTCTTAGAGATTTGGAATCTTTTACCGACAGCACCAAGGTGTATTTATCATCGTATTTCTTCATATCCGAACTGGCTTCCCAGATTTTCTGACTGCCATTCGATGACTTTTCAACGGCTACAGCAAAAGTGCCCTTTTCACGGAATGTTGTGTGCAGTGTTAAAATGCCCATTAAAACAAAATAGGCGACAACGCAGAACATAAGAACTGGTTTCGATTCAGGGAATGGATGTGTGAAATCCCAGCCATGAGCTAAAACTGCAACTCCCACAGCCAAAGTGCAGAGAACCAGGCGGGTATTGATTAAACCAAATTGTTCCTTCAATTGTGGTCTGGTGGCGAATAAAGCATTCTTGACAGCATCATCGAGAGCATGTTTAACGGCTGTGGCATCCCATTTGTTTACTTTTACTTCCTAAAGGGGGGAACGGAAAAATTTGCACTATTATTAAAAAATTCTGCAAAAGCAAAAAACCACAAATATGACGTGGTCCATAAGAAAATACTTGGCTTTTTGTCGAATTTAGTTGATTTTTTACTTTGTTAAAAAAAACTTTACTTACTACCTCTTCCATTTGTTGTTTTTCATTATTTTTTGTCATTTTTAAAAGTAAAATTCAATAATTTTTTTAAGAAAATGCAGAAAAATCTTTTTTGTTTGTGCTACAAAAAAAGTGACAACGCGACACACAGTTGTTTTTTAAATTAAAAGCCGCATAGAGTTGTATTGCATTAACAAATAAAATACTACTTTTTTTCTACTACTCTGCAAGCAAATGTCAAAATTCTTATTAGTTTCACAATTTTGTTCGCGTCCGGTTCATTTTAAGCGCCTAAAGTATTAACGAGTTTTAAATCGTTAATAAAAGTGTTATAAAATAATTGTTTAAATATAAAAAGTGTCGGAGAACGTAAAATAAAGATTTGTTTATGAAATAATATTATTGCTTTTGTGTAAATTATGAAATTACTTGAAAAAATCCAATTGGAAAAAGTATTAACAGTTTTGCAAGTCTCTTTGTGTGTGTGTGTTTCTTTGCAAATAGAGCTCAGTTGTGAAAAAAAGTATTGCAAGTTACATTTTATGGCAGATTTGATAAATAAGGTATGGAATTGAATTGGCTAATTGGTTTAGGAATTTGCTTTTATTTTACAATTATTGTAAAATTTATATAAAACAAATAATTTCCTTGGAACTGGTTTAGGAATTTGCTAAGTGCATTTCAATAAAGAAATTCTTTTTTTACACCACAGTGGTGAAATTTTTATTTCAGCAAATTTGCTCAGCCTCAGCAAAAACTGTTTTTTTTTATATGAACTCAGCATCGAACTGAAAGGCGGGGTTTCTCAGCAAAATGTTCCCGTAAAGAATGTACGTGTTTGTGTGTCGAAATCAGCAAAAATTTAATTTATGGTGGGTTGAAATAACCCACCACTATTTTCTAAACTGAAACGTTATTTAGCGTTCGTATATCTTCGTGTTTGAGTCGATTAAGACATGTCCGTCCGTCCGTCCGTCTGTCCGGCTGGCTGGCTGTCCATGTAAACCTTGTGCGCAAGGTACAGGCCGCAATTTTCAAGATAATTTGATGAAATTTGGACCAAGCATGTTTTTTGGCATAAGGACGAAGCCTATTGAAAATGGTTGAAATCGGTCCATTATTTCACCTAGCCCCCATACAACCGTACCTCCCGATTTGGGCTTTTTATGCCATAATTACGTCAAATATACTATTATCTCTCTAAAAATTGGCACAAATAAGTTTTATATAAGTATAAATGACACTGCAGATTTTTGTAATGATCGGCCCTTATTTGACCCTAGCCCCCATACAAACCCCCCTTCGTTATTTAAGGAACTACTGCCGATTTTAGGTTTTTCGTTTAAAAATCGAATTTTCGTGGGATATAAGAGTGATCACATATTTTCACTATTTTCTCAATTGTAGCGTTATTTAAGGAACTACAGCCGATTTTAGTATTTTCATATACAAATCGATTTTTGATGGAAAATGTGAGTGATCACAGATTTTCAATATTTTCTCAATTGGAGCGTTATTTAAAAAACTACAGCCGATTTTATGTTTTTCATACAAAAATCGATTTTGCAGCCGATTTTAGATTTTCTATATAAAAATCGATTTTTGGTGGGAAATATGAGTGATCACAGATTTATTATTTATATTTTCTATATAAAAATCTGTTTTTCAAGGGAAATATGAGTGATCACAGATTTTCACTATTTTCTCAATTGGAGCGTTATTTAAGGAACTACAGCCGATTTTAGATTTCTTATATAAAAATCGATTTTTGGTGGGAAATATGAGTGATCACAGATTTTCACTATTTGCTGAATTGGAGCGTTATTTAAGGAACTACAGCCGATTTTAGATTTCTTATATAAAAATCGAATTTCGAAGGGAAATATGAGTGATCACAGATTTTCACTGTTTTCTCATTTGGAGCGTTATTTAAGGAACTACAGCCGATTTTAGATTTTCTATATAAAAATGATTTTTAGAGGGAAATATGAATGATCACAGACTTTCACTATTTTCTCATTTGGAGCGTTATTTAAGAAACTACAGCCGATTTTATGTTTTTCATATAAAAATCGATTTTTGATGGAAAATATGAGTGATCACAGATTTTCACTATTTTCTCAATTATAGCATTTTTTAAAGAACTACAGCCGATTTTATATTTCTTATATAAAAATCGCTTTTCGAAGGGAAATATGAGTGATCACAGATTTTCACTATTTTCTCAATTGGAGCATTATTTAAAGAACTGCAGCCGATTTTAGATTTTCTATATAAAAATCGAGTTTTGATGGAAAATATGAGTGATCACAGATTTTCACTATTTTCTCAATTGGAGCATTATTTAAAGAACTGCAGCCGATTTTAGATTTTCTATATAAAAATCGATTTTTGATGGAAAATATGATTGATCACAGATTTTCATTATTTTCTCAATTGGAGCGTTATTTAAGAAACTACGGCCGAATTTATGTTTTTCATATAAAAATCGATTTTTGATGGAAAATATGAGTGATCACAGATTTTCACTATTTTCTTAATTGGAGCGTTATTTAAGGAACAACAGCCGATTTTAGATTTTCTATATAAAAATCATAAGTTTTATTTTAGTAAAATAACAGATTTTAGGTACATTTTCTGCCAAAAAGCTGCAAAACTCTATAATTTATTTTACGTATGATTTAAAATTTTACTGAGTAACTAACAGAGAAAAATTAAGTAAAATTAGATGGAGATGAAAAATCCATAACCCTTGAGTGGGATGACATTTTTAAAACCCTTTTTTATTTGCTAGATGTGACTTTGGGCTTCAATAATGGTCATATAACTTAAAAATCGACCCAATAGAAAAACAAAATGGAGGTTTAAGGCTAACTTTTTTGTTTTTAGTTGAATTTTAGTATAAAGTAAAGTTTTATTTCTCCACCCCAAAACTGACTTTAAATATTATTTATAAGGCTG